CCCCCCCCCTCCAGGCAGGGCTAGATTGCACCTCCACTCGTGTGCAGCACATGTTCTGGCCAGATAAAGTCAACAATTTGCACGTGCAAAATGAAATTCTTAATTAGAAAAGGCGCGTGCCCGTGCATGGTCGCGCGCGCGCGCACACACACACACGCACACACACACACATACACACGCTCCCTCGCTCCTGTTCCAAGCCTCCCGGTTGATACGCTCACGCGCTCGCACACAAGAAGTGAATTCTTGCGTGCGCGTGTGTTCGCCAAGTCTTTTGTCTTAAGGCAGCGCGCATGTTCAAACACGTGATCGCTTCTTTTCTTCTTTTTTGAGGGTGCCGCTTTTTTTTTTTCCCCCTCGAGTTGCCAAAGTTGCAGACAAGTAAGCGCAAGACGATGTTTTGATGTTTGGATTTGCGTTTGAGGTTTTCTTTTTTTTTTTTTTTTAATCCACCTCCAGCTCGCTCCGGGGCTCGGCTCCCCCTGCGAGGCCACGAAGCCGTTAAACGGGTCCGACGGGCGGCTTCAATCCCGGGAGGCCTCACCTCGTCCCGGTTCTACCGAAAGTTCCGAATTGAAAAAAAAAGAATTGAAGAAAAAGAAAGAAACAAAAAAGAAAAAAAACTGGGGGAGCTGCTTCCGAGCTTGTTTTAGATGTCAATTTCGCGCCTTGGTTCAAGAATTGTGCGCTAAAAGCATGAAATGAGACAGATTGTCTTTTTTTTTATTGGCTTCTTCTCTTTGCCGGTGTTAACAAAGAGGTGTCAATCTTCTATAGATACATGACATTAGATCTTTTGATGACTTTTTTTTTGTTGTTCCTTCGTTAGAAAATACACATTCAAATTAAATTAGAAAATACAAGGGAATCAAATGCGAAGTGAAAGCATTTTACCTTTCGAGACGTTGCGGATAGAACCCGTAATGCGCCAATCGATCGAGGGGAGGGTGAGAACAATAATAACAGTTGATCAGTAACAAATCAACACAAATCAGCATTGAAATGCACACAATAAATAAAGTTAAAGGCCTCCTTATTGTGTTCTCTTCGTTTTCTTCTCGCGGGCTGCCGTATAAACATTTACATTTCTTACAATCCTCGCGCGAGCGGAAAAGTCCTTTCCGCTTTGGCCGCGGCGCGACTTCTTCTGTACATGCAAAGGAGTCAGTCTTGCTTTTCGTTGCCGCCGCCGCCGCCGCCGCTTTAAACCTCGACATGCGCTCGCGATTACATGGCAGCGGCGTGCGCGGACGAGTAGGGCGACACGGAGGCCGGCGGCAGGAAGGCGCGCGCGGCCGCGGCGGCTGCGGCCGCCGCCGACTTCTCCGTGGGGCCCAGCAGCGCGTCCGACGGCAGCGGCAAGCCCTTCAGCTGCTCCGTGTCGCCCAGGTAGGGCAGCGGGAACACGTAGCGGTCCTTCTTGAGCAGGTTCTTGGGCTTGCGCCGCGGCCGGTACTTGTAGTCCGGGTGCTCCTTCATGTGCTGCGCGCGCAGCCGCTTGGCCTCGTCGATGTACGGCCGCTTCTCGGCCTCGGACAGCAGCTTCCACTCGGCGCCCAGACGCTTGCTGATCTCCGAGTTGTGCATCTTGGGGTTCTCCTGGGCCATCTTCCGCCGCTGGCCCCGGGACCACACCATGAAGGCGTTCATTTAAACCTCGACATGCGCTCGCGATTACATGGCAGCGGCGTGCGCGGACGAGTAGGGGTCAATCCCAGTCTTGCTCATACCTGGAAAGAGGATGTAGGCCACGGGAGGCTGCAAGCTGGACGCGGACCAGGCGCTGCAGTTACACGGCACCACGTAGCCCGGGTTCGTGGGCGACGGGTGGGTGTGCGTGTGCGGGTGCGGGTGCTGCGTGGGCGCACAGCCGCCCAGCGCGCCGAAGGCGCCCGCGCCCTGGTAGCCCAGCGACGAGTAGGGCACACCGGCGGCGGCGGCGGCCAGGGCGTGCGGCACGTCGCCCATCTTCTGGCCGAAGCCCGCCGCCGCCGCGTCCAGGAAGGACGAGTACGAGTTGTGCATCTTGGGGTTCTCCTGGGCCATCTTCCGCCGCTGGCCCCGGGACCACACCATGAAGGCGTTCATGGGTCTCTTGATATGGTCGGCCGGCTTGGACATGGCTGCCTGTCGTGAGTGCCGGCGGGAGCCAAAGTTACGGGAGGGGGGCGGAAGCGCGGGGAGGGGGAAAAAAGGGCGAGGACGAAGGGGCGAAGAAAAAAAAAAAAGAAAGAAAAAGAAAAGTTGCTATCTGGAGTTCACCTGCTGCTGGGAAAATGCGAGATAGCTGCAGGCATGCCGCGCGTCTCGCTCGATTGGCAAACAAAAAGGGGGGAAAAGTGCAAAAAAGGGGAGACAAAACGCAGTCAACATCCAAGGAGAGCGCGCGCACAAAAAGTCCACCGACGCGAGCATGCACGTGGGAAGAAAAGAAGCAGAATCCACAAGAAAAGGGGAACGCAACAAAGTCTCCTTCCTCCCTTCTGTCCTTCTTTCTCTCTAACTCTCTCCCTCTCTCGCTCTTCCTCTTCTTCCGAGTCTTCTTTTTTTTTTTTGGTTGTTGTTGTGGTGTTGTTTGCCGTTCGTCGGTGCGCTTGGTGGCTTTCTCCGTCGAGCTGCACCATCTGGCGCGCCTTGCAAATGAGCGCGCGACGCGCCGCGGACCGCGCCAAAAGCGGCCGAGTTCAAAGGCAGGGCTTGCTGCCGCGTCCTCGCACGCAACGTGACGTCACGCGCGGCGCAGCGCGGCGCGATGCGGTGCGGCCGCGAGGTGCGGCGAGGCGCGCGCCGCGGAGGAGGGACGCTGCCCGCCCTCACCTTCGTCGGGCGGTGTGCGCCACGTGCGCGCGCGCGCACGTTAATTGCGGGCAAAGTCAAACCCAGGAATAAATGCGGAACAACGAAAACAACAAAAAATGCTCATCGGTCGACCGAAACAAAACAAACAACAACAAAAACAAGACATCGATTAGAAACTTTGGCAATAATCCCATGAAAAAAAAATTCATCGCCCACAAAGAATAAGTCGATACTAAAAATTGTAATTATTCCACCCAAAAATGGCAAGAACGCTACAAAGAAAAATCCATGTAAATGAGACCAAGTCTCATCAAAATGTTTACACTTCCTAAATGTTTTAAAGGATTTTCTTAAAAACTAAAAAAAATCGAATAAAAAAAAACCCGAATGATTATATTTAAAAATCGTATTTTCAAAAATGTTCAAGAATCCTCCCAAAACATTTGATCAAAACAAAAATCGTCACCAAAAAGACAATGATGCAAAGAAAAATCATGTAAAAAAATGTCAGACAACAAAAGCCAAGATTATGATATCCCAAGTGTTTTGTTGGTCTATTAAAAAAAATCTACCTTTCACAAAAATGGAATAGTATTCAAACCACAAAAAAAATTACAATTGGAAAACAATTACTGTTCTTGTTTAAATAATAAATAAATAAAGAATAATTAAAAAAAAAATCCACCTAAAATTACAAACCCACCCAAAACTTGAACAGGCCTACCTCTACACAAAATAAGACACCACGAAACAGAATGGTTCTGTTCAAAACGAAATTTTATATATTTCTATATTTTTACAGGCAATTACTGGGGTTTTTCCTTTTGTAATGACCAGAGTTGCAATGTTTTGGCCAGGCTCAAACATTGTTGACTTCTCAAACGAAACTCAAAACAAGCTTCCCAACTCCCAACCAAAAGGTCCACTTGCATGCTTTTTCTCAAAATAAATTCGAAGAGTACACGCCAAGTCCAAAGAAGTCATTAGACTCATTTGTGCGCTTGAAGAAGTTAACCTTTCTTTTTGTAATTGAGTACAACATGTGCGTGATTACAAGCCATTACATCCTTTTCAAGGCGACCTATTCAAGCAGTTTCGGGCACAAGTGCAACCATGACTACAACAATTAGACGCGCCCAACGCATGCAAATGATGTGCTTTGGAAAGACTCCATCGAAGCACACTGGCTTTCTAAAAATAAAAGTAGAAGAATAATAAGAAGAATAATAGGAGTGATAATAGTAATAATAGTAATAATCATCAAGACATGGCTGCAGGATGCCCCCGGGGCCCCCACCGTGTGAAAAATGATACAAGACAGTCACATCAAGAGCTGCTGAAGCAAAAACTTCAAGGTGGGGAGAAGGAATCAAACAAACGTCATCATCATCGTCATCATCTGAATATTTGTCAGGAAAACTAATTTTGACTTTTGGGATGAATCGGGTCAGGATCATTTTTAGCGCTTTCTCTCTCTCTCCCTCTCTCGCTCTCTCTCTCTTGCTCGCTCTCTACGCGCATGCGTCAATAAGCAGGAAGATTTCTGTCGTTTAATCGGTGGGAATTTTAATTCAGGGGAGGGGGAAGAAGTGGAAGATGAAGAAGGCAAAAGTGGGGACGGGACGATCGGGCAGCGAGCGAGCGAGAGGCGACTTCGTCTTCCTGATGACGTGAAAGGCTCGCTGGGTTTATCGGCGCACGAGGTATTTTTTTTTCAAATATGTGTTCCGTGTTTTGCAAGTTGAGGTAAAAAAAAAAGAAAACAGGCAGCCATGACGTGGGATGGGACGATTGCGTTATTATTATCATGATTAATAAGATGGGGAGTTCTAATCGGATGGGGAGTTCGAAATTGAAGATATTGAAATGTAATTTATCCACCAAAAAAAATCCGATTTTTATTTGGTGATGTGCACGATTTTGTTGTTCACGGTTGTCATCAAACACGCTTGAAACGCACGAGTTGAATGACTCCCTTTTCCAAATGCAAGACACGTCGACATTTTCTTTTTAACATGACGCAATTGTTTTTTTTCCTCCTTTAAATTATGTTACGCGTGCTCTTGTGCTTTTGCTGGGATGATGATTTGATCCACACAGAGATTCAACACACACACACACACACACACACACACACACACTCACACACACACACACACACACACACACACACCAAATTAAAAACAAAAAGAAGTACTTGAAAAAATAAATTGAAGAGAAATACATGAGACACTCGATTGTTCCGATCTCTCCATGCCAACAGATGTCCAACATAAAAGCGCGGCTGCCGCGCGAGCGCGCACGCTCGGAGGTTGCGCGCGTCCGCTCCCGAGCCCAGCGTCACTGTCCGCGGTGCTGCGCCCCGCCCCCAGCAGCCGCCCAAACTCTCAGCAGTTTTCAATGTTTTCCTCCGTCTGAGCACATCACTCAAATATCACGAAAAACCTCCTGCGCGTGCGCGCGAGCGCACACGCAGGCAGAATCGCTCCAATGACGAATCTTATTTGACGCAGCTGCAGGAGAGAGATGAAATATGAGCACGTGACTTGCACTCTCCATATTCTGTGCGTCAGCAACAAGCATGATTATTTGACAGGAGATATACAAAGTCAACACACCCCTGTTTGGATGGCAGGACAAAAAACAAACAAAAAAAAAACAAAACAAAAAAAGTAATCATTTCCAAACTTTTTCCACCATCAGTGTGACCTGTAAGCTGTACAAGGTCACTGAAAATCACATTTGAATGTTTTAAGAAGGCAACTGGGATCATGTGGTTGCAAAAGTGTGCACACCCTCATCACGGGCAAGTTGTGTGTTCAGAATGAGCCAGTCCCATGATTTGAAAAAAAAAAAAATGTCGGTGCACATGTGCCGCCATCTCAAGGGCCTCTGATTAACCTCGAATAATTCTCTGCTGTTCTAGTAGGCTTTTCCTGCCCTTTTTTTTCATTTCCAGCAAAAGCCTGACATTGACACATTTTTTGGACTAATACACTAATTTGTATAACTCAATTATTCTCATTTGTGTGTGTGTGTGTGTGTGTATATATATATATATATATATATATATATAGAGAGAGAGAGAGAGAGAGAGAGAGAGAGAGAGAGAGAGAGAGAGAGAGAAAGCTCAAGGGCAACCCCGCAGGTAGCACGGGGACACTGCAATTTACTACAGTACAAGGTACAATTCAATTAATTCATCATAATTCCACAAATTTTCAATTCATTGTTACACCCCAGCCAGTGCAAAACTTAACTAATGGACGCACATTTATATGAGAGTTCATGCATATATATGAAAAAAATGTCAGGGGTTGTCAGGGGAGCGAGGGATGAGGAGAAGCAAAAGATGATAAGAGAAGAACATCAAAGAGCGCGCGGGTCCGCACGGCCCACATTCTACTATACAATTAGGATTAAAGGGGCCCAGCGGAGATCAGGTCTGATAAATGATCACAAAAGCCGAGACGATGTGACTCACCGCTGACCTTCATTAACAGGGAAGAAATTCATTGGAGAAAAACAAGGCAAGAAGAAGGAGCCACGTCGCGCTAGCACATTAGCGCTCTTCCTCTTCGTCCGCGACGATTCAGTGTTTTCAGAGAAGGTCCGACGTCAAGCATGAGTACAGTTGCAACTTATATTCAAAGTAGAAGTTTATTTTACATTTGCTTTGACAGTCGAGAATGTTCAACTGTCAGGCGGGAGCCATCGTTTCATTGAATAATGAACAGGCAATGAAGCGCAACGGCACAACTGTGGCCTTTTGCTGGATTGAACGGTGGTGATTTATGAGTCTGTCACGTTTGACCTCAGCTAGTGATACCAACGTAAGGTGACTTAGTGTTTTTTTTTTTGTTTTTTTTTTTTTTAAAGGAGATGGGTGTAGGTCATCTGTTAAAAAATGTTCTTTTTACTTTTTGAGGTTCATTAATCCGGATGCAGGTTTTGGCATGCTACAACAGCAACGAATGTGCTATGTTAATAATGCTAACATTATATAGCTGGAATTGTTTCTTACAAGTTCCTTGTCGCAAAAATTGTCCGTCAGTGATTTCCTTTGTAATGACGTCAGTCTGCATGCATTGTTTTCGCTACACTGTGGCTTACATTTCAAAGGACACTCTGCCCAGAATTTGATGAAAATTCTATCCGACCGGCTGCTTGCACTTAGCAGCGTGAAATATGAAAGACAAAAAAAGAGAAAGGCTCACAAATTTTGCCCTGCTGGTTCGAAGTGGCGATTTTAGGGTCATTTTAGCCATTCGGGGGGGGTCTTTTTAGAGGTTTCATTTAGCAACATGACATTTGTTCATCCTAAGTAGACCCACAAAAAAGTCTCAAGAATCCATGCGTGAAATGACACTGCTATCTTGATTTGAACATTTTAGGGTCGCGTTAACCCTTCCCAAGTCTTTTAAAAGTTGCGGCCAAATTCGAAAATCCAGCTGCCAGAGTCAATTTCCCATAGCGGAATGAAATTTGGTCGACACATCGATCATGAGTAAATCCACGAGAAAGTCTGCAATTAGTTGTACACAGCAACATGAAATTTGGTAGGTTTGTCTATCATGAGTCGACTCAAGAATCTAAAAGGTTTCAAGAACCTGTGCCCAAAAGGACATAGGAAGTCGGCTATGATGGTTTGAGGCAGCCATCTTAGGTTAAATTTGACCATTTCCAAGTTTTGTAAAGTTGGGACCATTTTGGGAGGATTCAGTCCCTGCAAGCCTGTTTTATTGACATGACATTGACCCACAAAAAAAAAAGTCTCGGGAATTCATGCATGAAATGACACAGGAAAACTGCCATGTTGGTTTGAAGCAGCCATTTTTAAGACCACTTTAACCCTTTTCTTGAAAGTTGTGGCCTGTGTTGCTAGTTCAACACCCCGCAGTTCATTTCCAATTGCAACGTGAAATTGGGTAGACGTGTCTATCATGAGCAAACCCGCAAAAAAAAAGTCTCAAGAAGCAATTTCCGAAAAGACACGGGGAGTCAGCCATTTTGGTTTGAAGCGGCCATCTTGGGCTAATTTTGACCATTTCTAGGTCCTGAATAGTTGCAGCCCATTTCGAAAATTCAGCCGCCGCAGCCGCTTTCGCTTTGCAACATGGCCGAAGTGAAATCTGCTGTGTTGATTTTGAAGCGGCCAGCGTTCGCTCCATTTTCAAAGGTGAACTTGTCCTCCAGATATTGTCTGGTTGCCACCAAAATTGAACCACAAACACAAGACAAACGAGCGAGGCGAAATCTGTGGCGAATGATACTTTTCGTCAATGCTCGTGTCAAAAGCGAGCCATTCGTTATCAAGCTCGCGACCAAACGCAACTTTGCATCGGAGACCAAATGGGAACTTCTCCGTTCAATCGGATGAAAAATGTCCATCTTCTCAAGTTGAGCGGGCGCGTTATGACGCATGCGCATCCTTCATTGCTGTTTATTCACGCAGCTGAAAAGAGGAAATGAAGCCCGAGTCAGAAAAGTGGAGGGGTGGACTGAGATGGAAAGTCTTTCTTGTAGGATGTCAAACAATGGGATTTTTTTTTTTTCTCGACATACAATACCGCGCGGGTGCGCGCGCACGCACACACACCGGAGGCCACCAACTCGTCCTCTCATTGCAGCGCGTGCGCGTCGCGTGCGAGTGGAAATAGGCCGGGCAACAATTAATTTGCGAGTGAATTGAGGCAGGATCTATTACCTCTCTCTCTGCTTCTATTGCTCTAATGGAAAATCTATTTGGCTTGCCTTTTGTGTCCAATATAATTTAATGCCCCCTTTTATTAATGGCCTGAAATAATTATGGCGGGGGTCCCTTTTGTGATTCTTGAGTATGTTTCATTTAATTGTGTAATAAATGTCTAATCGGCAGCGCCATCTGAAGCCATTATGGCCGCTAAAATTAACAATTACGCCACAAATGTCTCGGTGAATGCATTGTTGGGGTCGGGGGTTGGGGGTTGGAAGGGGTGGGGGGTCTATAGAAATGGCTGCTGATAACAAGACACGTATAAATCATTCATGAGAATTTTCTCACAGAGAGTGAGAGATAGTGGATAGAAAGAGCGCAGGAAGAAAAGAGGAGAAGAAAGAGTCCATTCAGAGAAGGGGATGGACTCGGAGTCTTTCTTTCTTGCTATCGTTTGCCCCTTAATTTTTTTTTTTTTAGGGGAGGGGTTGGGGGAACTTAAGTGATAGCTTTCACCGCAACGCGATACAAACACCTGGCAGGGCCTCCGCCAAGGCCCCCGGGCTGCCTCTAAGCCGCGTGGCGGCTGACCCGAGGCAATTAAAGAGGCGTCACACTCGCTCGGCCTGCAGGACTTGTTTTCTTTGGACTCATTTCATGGTGGGCCTGCCGCCGCCGTCTTCATCATCATCGTCATCATCGTCTCCCTCTCCTCTTCCTTCTCTGGCTAATGTGCTGCCATTGGTCGCGGCGAATCTATTTGATTTCAAAGTTCTTACGCAGTCGCCAAGAATGAAAAGGAAGGCGGTTCTGACGGGCACTCGGGCGTATGATGTAGAGCGGTATTACACTCTCGGGAAAATGTTGAATGGTTATGAGGGAAAAAAGGAGAAAGAAAAAAAGGAAATTTGGAGGAAAATATTGTGATTTTTTTTTTGTTGTGACAAAATTGTTTTAAAGAGAAAAGTTGCCTGTTTTAGCAAAAGAGTCATAACTTTGACAAACTGAGGATTGTACAGAAGAGAGACAGCGTCACTCATTAAAATGTTTTCTTTTTATAAAAACACCAGACTTTATTCAAGAGTACAAAAGGTTTTCCAGGAAAAGTTTGTCAATAAAAAAAAAAACATTTAATTATATGAAAGAAAATAAAATCATATAGCGTACAGTAGCATCCAAAAAATGGATGACCGTATAAAAAAAGAGAAAATATCCATTGCTAAGTTTGCACTTTTAAAAAAAAGTGACTTATTACTCGAAAATGTACAAAAAAAAGCAAATATTTTTCAGAAATAATTGTGTATTTTCAAGACTTTTTCAAGTGACCTTTTGATGAAATCGCAGCTCTTTTTCTCAAAAATGTACAAAAGATTTCTGGACAAAGGAAGACCATTATGCTTGAACATTTTTTTTCTGAAAATGTAGCCAACTTTTTACTCAAGTACAGCAAACTTTTGTTTCACCCACACACAAAGTAAAGTCTGTTCCTCAACAATAAACGAATTGTCTGAAAACCTTTTTTTTTCCCTGAAAATCTGCAACGTTGACACCATATAACTCACCCAAACGGCGCTCGGAAGTACAAACAAAGCCTCGCCTTCCTCACTCATGGCCGTCGGCCGCTTGAATAAACGTCATGATGTGATTTCACGCCGGCAAGAAAAGCAGACACGACCGCTTGTGAAGAATTGATGACGGCTTCTTTCAAGGAGGACGGCGGTAAAATTGGCCGTGAAATCCCGCGCGTGGAATTGAATTTGTTGGAAGCGCAAGGCGGAAGAAGAAGGTGTGAGGTGGCGCTGACAAAGACACTTTTGTCTTGTGCCACTTGTGGGGAAAAACACATGCATCCATTTGTTTTTTTTTTTAACTCTTATGTGTCATTCGGCATCAAACTGGACACATTTGACCGGTTTTTATTCTCATCCAAGTTTTTGCCCCCCAAAATATTGTTCTCTCTCAAAATTCCAGACAATTTCTCAAAAACGAGACTATTTCTGTCAGTGCTATTTTTCCCTAAAAAGTTATATGAGCTGTTTTAAAAAAGTCAATGAGTTGTATTCTCAGCAATATATATTTTTCTTTAAAAAAAAAAAAATCCACAAAATGGGACTTTTTTTTTCTTTTTCAAAAAAACATGTTTTTGGGGTACCGGTAGTTTTTTTCTGAAACCAGGGACATTTTCAAATGAAAACCTGATCAAGCTTTAGAACGTAAGACTTTTTTTCTCCCTAATAATACAGTTTTCCCTCATAAATAAATAAATAAAGGAAGATTTTGGAGGGTCATATTTGGCAGTCGCCACTGGTCCTACAAAAAGAAATAAATAAATACAATTCTTGCAATCCATGACATGGAACGTACACATCGTGTTGGTTGAACGCAATCAAGTTGCTTCGTCTGTCTCCTCCTTCTAAACGGGTCGTAGCGTCGCGACGGGCGCGTGCGCGATAACGGCACTCCGGTATCTTTATGACATTTAGTCACACGGCGTTGCTCTTTGTCTTGCAGGAGAGCAAAAGGCTATAATTGGAGCCATCATCTGCGGCTGAGAGGCTAAATGAGGGATCCCTCGACTCCGGGATTACCCCCCCCTCCTCACCCCCTCCAATTTTTTTTTTTATATTGGGAAGACGTACCCCAGCGCTAAGCTCCCGCCAGCGACACGTACTCCTCCAGCGCGGCCCTCTTTCACGTCCAAATGTGTCCTGTCAGGGAGGCTTAGCGCAAATCTACATAATCCCCTTTCATCGCAATTAAAGATAGCAGTGAACAATAAAATTGCTTGCTCTCTGGTTTGTTTCGTGCGGCTTTGAGGCGGCCAAAGGTGACGCGCGGCTGCCAATATATCCAACTTTTCCAGACACACATGACAAGTGAGTGCAAACGAGAGAACGAGAGCAAAAGCGCACCAACCGGCTGCTTGTGAAACGTCAAAAGCAACTCCAAATGGACGGGGAGAGTTCCTAATGTGCTGAATCCAAGTGTAAATATTGATACTTTATCATTCGAGGATACCAGTGTCAATGGAGAAATCATTCAGCATTGATATTTCACGAGGGTTTATGCAGCGGCGCTTCGCGGAAGTGAATGACCATATACATTGCAACATTGAAATGTGATTTTAAATATTTGAATCAACATGTGCGGTCGATACTTCTATTCTTACAGAAAACAATGCTTTACAATCGCAATAGAATTCATCTTAAAAATGAACTGCAAATGTTGAACGAAATGTTAGCTAACTACTAGCTAGTAGCTAATAGCTGGTTGGTGAACTAAATGTTTACCAAACTGCTTTTTTTGTTTGTTTAGTTTTAATTTGATTTTGTGCATGACGATAATCAGGCAACAAACGTGAGTGACTTTGAGTTGCCTACCTGGCAAAATGGCGGCGCCGTGACGACTTCCTGCGAGCACACCTCCGGTGTCTTTTTGTCCACTTTGACTTGGTGAAGACCAAGATGAAGGTTTACGGCCGTGATCCCAAAGATCCTTGGCATCTTCCGACAGGACAAACAAATCGGAAGACCGCGGAAGACCAGGCCACGCCGGGCCTCAAGCTTCAGCGCTTTCCTGCCAAAAGTTTGAAATCAACATTTACCACACTGGTACATTTTTGACAATAAGTAACAACTTAAGTTGTGTTTAGCAACAGATAAATTTCACGATTGTTCGAAAAAGTAATGCACAAGGTTTGACAAAGCTGTTATTCGGTTACTGTACCTATTTTTGGCTGAGTTTGGTTGCTCCAATCAAGCAAAAGGCCTCATGCTGGCAGCAAGGGATTCAAATACAGGAAGTCCTACCCGGGTCGTACCAAGTTTTTCAAGGGGGCGGGGGTGTTTCGTGTTTACTTTGCTCATATTCTTCATTTTATTGGACCGCTGTCATTTTTAGGAGTTCATTTGATTTCAAATGAATGGGAGTAGATTTAAAACTTTTTATCAACTGCACTCTAGCGTATTTTACTTTTGTCTTAATGTTTTGATTTGACCCCTTCTGTCGCCAACGCTGGTACAACCTGCTAGTTTCAATATCCTTCTCAAACTTTTTTGTGCTTTTGTTTGACCTTTGAATAAAATTGTGTTTAATGAAAGCCACTAAGTTGTGATCAAATGATTTATTTTTGCTCCCCAAAGTCTATTTTGTCTCTTCTCGTCATGTGCGTTCTCATTGTGTTTCGTGAAAACTTTTTACTAGCGATCGACTTTGCTGCAGTTCAAAGTTATCAAGCGCTCGCGCGAGATGGAAATGCAGACAAACACGCGCCTGCTCGTCACTTTGCTCCTGTTCCAACTCGCCTCACCATCACGTCTGGAAAAGTATGCAGAAACGAGCAAGCCCTCGGCGCACAATTATGAGCGTTATTATAAATAACAATTTGAATGCGGCCAGACTCGAGCCTGCGAGGCAAAACGGAAGGAAACGGTGCAGTCATAATCATTCCTGTCTGATCCAAAAACATGACATTGATGATTTTGTTTCTGATAACACGGAAAATACAATCGCTTCACTCTTTTCCTTGTTTGTGTCAAATTGGACCCAATGTGACATTGAACAGTCTAAATGTCATTTCTTTCATTCTTCGTTGGTCTTTAAAGGGATCAAATACCTACATACTGCATCGATACAGGTACATAGATACAGCAAAATATGTTTTTGTACCCTGTTGTAAAAAAAAATGACAATTGTATTATTGTTGTGATTGTTTTAGAAAAGCCAAAGCAAAATGAACTAACGCCCGGACCTTGTATGACCATAAATAAATAAAAACAACAACAACAACAATTCAACCCTGCAAAATGAATCCTTTGCAGATTCCCCATCGGCCGCTGCCAGTTAACCAAAGCGAGCGATGACTTCTGACCTTGATAAAAGGGACGCCCGCCTCTCTTCAGCTTTGCGTTGGCGATAGCGCCTTAGCTTAGCATCTAATTATTGTTTAATAAGCTCCCCCTGGCTTGTTTGTCAACAGTGTGTCTTTTCTAATCTGGCCGGCGCCTGCAGGGCGGCGATAGCATCTTAAGCCTCTTGTTCCAGCAGCCTCGCCGAGCCCGGCCGAGCCCGCCGGCCACTACACCGGCCACTCGCTCATTTACAAGCGGCAGATAAACGCCCCGCCGTCCTTTTTAATCTGCTTGCTGCAACGCAATGCAACAACAGTGCGGGCGTGGCCTTTGAACGCACCCGGCGGCCTTTGGCTGAACGTCCCCTACGGGGGATTCGAAAGCACCGTCGACTGCCTCGGCCTCTGTCGGCTGTCACTCACAGGCAGAATGATGAATGGTGAGCATCCACTTCGAGTGCCTTGGGTGGGGGGAATGTTAATCGCTATTTACATTGTACAGTCATTCCAACGCAATAGACGATTGTCACTTAGCATCGCAACCAGGCATTTCATTCGTATTTTGCTTTTGCTGACAAGTGGATTATTTTGCGGATAACACAAGCACATGACGGAACTTGGATCAGGATATGGTTGGACTTTTGATGGATGGATGGACCCATCTGGATGACCACGTAGCTTTGAGATCTCAAATTAGTAGCACCGTGTCAAATTTGGGGTTGGAAATGATTTCACCGAAAATAAAAGTTGACATCTTTCCTTGTCCATCCGCAATCATTTTATAAAAGTTATTAGGGTTACAGCAACAAACAACCTAAAATGCAACAGAACAGCAGTTTTAGGGATAAAAGAAACAAGGAAGGGTAGAGACCAAGCTAGCAAAGGTTAGCTCAGAAGAATGCTTACAGAGGCTAACGCTAAAGTTCTTTTTTTCAAATTGTGCTCCAGTAGAGAAGCATTATGCTAGCCTCATGAGCTTAGCATAGCGACAAGGCCTCATGTTAGTATCATAATTGTTAATTTACAGATATTACAAGAACAAAGTCTACCATCAAGCAGACCAAAGTTGATTTTGGGACGGATTTGATGGACTACACAGATGACGGAATTGATTTTAGGCCTCACGATAGCATCGCATTAGCATTTTGCTTATTTGACAGACTCTGCAGGCCACTAGATAGCTTTTAGGGCTCACGTCCATTGCAGGACTTTAGCATTTTGACTGGAGATTATTTTAGCTTCATCCATAACTGGAAGTAATGAAGTTGATTTTGTAAACAGAACAAAACAACAAAAGCATTTTTCTCCTCAACCAAGCTAAGTCATTGTAGAAAGGCTATGCTATCGGAGCATTGTGCTCGCCTCATGATCTTAGCATATCAGGACAAGACTTCATGTTGGTTGCATAATGGTAGCATTTGATTATTTTACTCATTTTATATGAACACAGCCAACCTTGGAGCAGACCTACGTTGATTTCTGACATATTTAACAGACTATAAAGGCGTCGGCACAGCTTTAAGGCCCCGCATTCGTGGCACAACGTCAGTCTGTGAGTTTGTAGCGTTAGCCTCAAGCAGCAGAAACAGAACAACAACAAACCCCAAACATTTCCATTCATCCTCTCCACGCTCAGACATTGTCAATACGTGAAACCGTGGAGGAAGCATGCGTCGTTCTTGACATCTGGCGAAACATGTTGCGCTTGTTATTCATTTTAAAAACAAATAGCATTGGTGTTTGTTCTCCTGTGTGGTCGCGGTGCAGAAGGGCGGGACAAGCGAATGATGTATCGCGCTCCCCGAAACAGATTGTCGTCGCGCCTGGCACAGATTAGTCACATGTGGCCTCTGAAGGAGGCTGCAAATTGCGGCCTCTCTTTAACACCGCCGATAAGGCGTTAAATGAAGGGAGGCGCCTTATCAGCATGCCTGCTCCCCATAAATCACCTCCCGCCGCCCAGCCACCGCCGCTTTCTATCAGCGTCCCGGGGGCCCGGCGACAACCCGCAACCCGCCATCGCATCTCCCGACAATCGCGCGCACATTTCCCTCCTCAGCCACACTCGGGCGCTTCATTAGAAGCACCGTTTGTGTATGTGTATGTGTGCCTGCTATCTCCATTTAATCCGCACTAAAAACAAAAAGACACTTCACAGTCAATGAGAAGAAGCACAAGTGGCCCTTAATGGCAAAATCCCCATGAAACCAAAAGCAGCAGTGCGCTTTAATGAGCTGCTCTAAGTGCCTTAATTGTTTCTTAAAGGCACCCTCAGCATTCACAAAAACATCAAGAAGAGTACTAGTGCAAATAAGAATAAGAATAACTCGTGTTTTGTGTGCTAGCCTGATAGTAAAAGTGACGCTTTAGGCTCCAGTCTTCCCACATCTTTCTCCATCCTTCCTGTGTTCTTCCGACATTCTTTTGACCTCCTTAGTCAGTGGATATCAAAAAGTCTACACACCCCTGTTTAAAAGCCAGCTTTTTGTGATATATTAAAAAAAAAATGAAACCGATAAATCATTTCAATTTTTTTTCACCATTAATGTGACCTATAATTTGTGCAACTCAAATTTTTTTTTCTTGAAAATACCTGAGATGATGTGCTTGCAAAAGTGTGTACACCCCCCTCATAACTGGGGATGTGTTCGGAATCAGCCAATCGCATTGAAACTCATGTTAAATGGGAGTCCACACGCACCTGCCACCATTTAAATTGACCTTAAATAAAGTTCAGCTGTTCCAGTGGAATTTTCCTGAGGGGTTTTTTTTTTTGCTTTCTAGCAGAAACCTGAAGCTTCTGTGCTGACACTGACATTAGTTCCAAGTGGATACAACCAGCCCCTAAGCATGACACTGCCTTCACCAGCCTAACACATTTTGGGTCAAGTGTTGGGTCAAATTTGAAACCAAGGTTGAACTTTTTGGCCAA